AAAAAAAAAAAAAAAAAAAAGAATTTTGGGATGAGATTATCCTGGATTATCTGGGTTGGCCCAATGTAGTATCACAGAGTCTTTAGGCTGGGTGTGGTGGCTCGCATCTGTAACCTTAGCACTTTGGGAGGCCAAGGCAGTTGAGTCCAGGAGTTCGAGACCAGCCTTGGCAACCTAGCAAGATCCCATCTCCACAGAAAATTTTAAAAATCAGCCACATGTGGTTACATGGGCCAGCTACTCAGGAGGCTGAAGTGAGAGGATTGCTTGCGCTTGGGAGGTCGAGGTAGCAGTGAGCCGAGATTGTACCACTGCACTCCAGCCTGGGTGACAGACTGAGACTGTCTCAAAACAGAACACAACAACAGCAAAAAGTCCTTAAAAGACGGAGGCAGTAGGATCAGAGTGAGATACTGGAAGGTGCTACACTGCTAGGTTTGAAGACAGAGGAAGGGACCACAAGCCATTAGGAATGCAGGTACCTCCTAGAAACTAGAAAAGGCCAGGGAATGGATTCTCTTCTAAAGCCTCCACAAGGAACACTGCCCTGCAAACATCTTGATTTTACGCCAATGAAGGCCATTTCAGGTAATAATAAATGTGTGTGATTTGAAGTCACTGGGTTGGTGGTAGTTTGTCACAGCAGTCATAGGAATAACAGGGACTGCTTCTCCATCAGCTTTCATCAGCACGTCCATGCAGAATCCTCAGTGCTATAGGAGTAGGCACTGACGCTGACCCTGCAGCCCAGCCCTCTAGTACAGGACCCTGCCCATGAAGTGTGAGATGCCACCCCTGCGACAGCACAGACTGAGGTCTGAGGAAAGTCAGGCTCAACCACCCCCAATGGAGCAGGAGATTCTTTTGGGGGCAGTGCATGTGGCTTGCAGGTGAAGTTCACAGATAAGCATCTCAGGGCCTGGAACTCAACACGGTCCTCAGGAGACACTCTGGGAGGGCCGGCCTGAGGCAAGCAGTCAGCAGAAGTGGTCCCCAGGCACCAACATGGTGCTGAGCCCTCCACTCCTCACAGCAACGGAAAGTCCCCCAGGGCAGGGCTTTTCCTTGGAGGCAACCTAAGGCCCCAGCACAGGTCTGAAGCCTCAGCTCCTTCTGGGTCCCCGCCGGGGCTCCTGCCGTCCCTCTTGGCTATACTTGGTAATCCAGGCCCCTGCCTTGCCCTCTCCTAAGATCCCTCTCTTTCAGAATAGGAGGCTTAAGCAATCAAGAGGGGAAGTATGGGAACAAGGGGACTCTCAGGACCTTCGACATGGGTAAGAACTATCTGAAGGCTCAAGCACTGTGACGGGTCCCCTGCCAGGCTCCCTTTCTACAAGCAGCACCTCTAGCGGCTGCTGGCCAACACCCCCAGCGCACAGGCAAACAAGACCACCACGCCATTCCCCCGGGACTGTCCTCTGGCCAAGCCCCTACCAATCCCCACCTCACCATGCTGCTCACACGAGCAACCTACTGCTCCTAATAACACGACTATTTATCGAGTACTGCATCCAGATGCTGTCCTAGGCTCCCTGTGTGCCCTACAAACTGACCCTCAGCACAGCCTTAGGAGGTAAGGGTGATCGTTCCAGCCCCACATGGAAACACAGAGGAGCTAAGGAATTCACACAAACAACTGCCCCTTCGCCAATGAGAAGCTGGCATTTATCAGGCAGTCTGGCTCCAGAGCCCGGGCTCTAAACCTTTGGTTTAGATGTCCCTGATTAAAAAACCCCACTGTGACTGAGAATAGCTAAGTGACCCGGGGTCAGGGACGCTGGCTTCTGCCTGAGCAGCAGCACAACACAGCACTTGGGAGAGAGTCAGACCCGAGGCACCCTCAGCCAACGGCCCCGTGCTATTTCTTCTCCTTTCAAGCTTCCTTACGAGGCTAATTAGCTAGGAAAAGATATACAGGACAGCCCTCAAAATAAACACAGGTGGAGGGCAAGAAACGGTGCTAGTAAACTCATGGACTCAGTGGGCAAAAAAAGAGAGAAAGCCTCTTAGCCTTCAAAGCTTCTGATCTTGGCTGGGCACGGTGGCTCAACGCCTGTAATCCCAGCACTTTGGGAGGCCGAGGTGGGCAGTTGACTTGAGGTCAGGAGTTGGAGGCCTGCGGCAACAGAGCGAGACTTCATTTCCATAACAAATACAAAAAATTAGCCAGGCATTGGAGGTGTGCATCTGTAGTCCCAGATTCTCAGGACGCTGAAGCAGGAGGATTGCTTGAGCCCAGGAGTTTGAGGCTGTAGTGAGCTATGATCACACCACTGCACTCCAGCCTGGGCAATACAGTGAGACCCTGTTTCAAAGAAAAGAAAAAAAACCTTCTTCTCCCCACCAAGTTGGTTCACCATCCTCACCTCTCTACTAGTGGAGCAACTGACATCCATCCCGTCACAGCCTCCAAAAATGGCATAAATGACTCCTCTACTGAGAGCCAGAATAAACGTTCGGAGGGAAGGTAGGAATGAACTTGGGCTCCAAGGCCAGGCAGAGAAGTGTTTCCACTTCTCAAGTTCCACAGCTCCCCACGTATGTGACTTTGGGGAAATTACTAAGTATGACTCTTTCCCGATCTGCAAAATGGGATGACAGTGTTCTCTGTCTCACAGGGTTAATGCTGGCATGGCTAAGACAACATCTGTACAGAGGCTGGCATGGAGCAATCCCTCAACATGACCACCCAGGCACCATGCCAAGGGCGGTACATGAATTAACCCATAAAATCCCACAACCCCAAGGCAGGCAGGCCCCTGTAAGCTGATTTACACATGCAGAAGCTCAGGCACTTGCTCACAGTGGTGGTGCTAAGGAGTGGCAGAGCTAGG